ATTATATACACTGTATAATCTTACAATGGATTCAATATAGCTTTGATATTGAAAAGTTGGGAGATTGAAAATGCAACGTTATACAAAAACCACACCTTTAGTTTGAAAGTCTTTATCTGTTTTCACAAATCCTGCAACCAAAGCTCTTGGTAGTGCCGCTAGCCACTCGTCTCTATTCAGATTTGAAGGAATAGCATATAAAATATTATTCAAAAGATTTTCCTTCGCATAAATGGCAGCTGCAGAACCATTATGTCCATCAAAGATCTGTAAGAACAAGCAGAAATATACAGCATATTAGACAAAACACCAATAGTAAGTGCTTAGAATTCATCATCTTCAAACCCACATTGGAAAGAATCATTATTTGATGTAGTGCCATAACAGAAAAATACAACTTCAAGTGATATTTGCTAGTACATATGTTTGGTTGGGACATTGTATTTTTTTTTTACTTATTAATAAAAATATCCAAAGAGCACAAATTACAGGATCAGTAGAAAGCCCCATGAGATCAGCACAGCAGAACAACCAGATCAGCCTCATGTCGTCAACTGACAATTGTGACCTTCCTAATAAATTATATGGTATTATGGATATGTAACAGATCATAAAGCAAAATCCCAATTCAGGAAGGGGTGTTATTGCGCAAAATGATTTCTGTTTAATCAAAGCTAAAAGGTAGCGAGAGAGTAGTCATCATGAGCATGTACATGAGAATAAGTTATCAACACCATGGGAAACAGAAGACCAGACAGACGCCAAAAAAATATCTGAATATGTCAACGTCTCAGAATATGTGGAGCAATTGTCTCAAATGTACCCTAGCAACTCGAGGTTGGCATGTTAATTTTCTATTTCATCATGGAAATCACCTTTCTATATACCTCGAACAGAAAACTTGCTTCAATTTAGTAGTTCCATGCAATGAACTTAAGAAAAATTTTGACAAAGTTAAATCTTTGAGCAGGTTAGGCATTCCATCTTCATATTTTCCATATGTTTTTTATGATTTTTTTTTTAGTTTATTAAGATTCAAAGCAATTAGTTATGTTTCTCTCAATCTGAAAGAGATAAATTGCATTCGAAATGTCAAATAAGTAGTAGATGCAACATGAAAGAGTTTTAAAGGAAAAACCATCAAAGACAAACAAATAATTTTATATGAATATATATTCCAATAGGACTATAGGGAATTCACAGCAAGGGTATAGCTTCTTAAAAGTCACTTTTAACTTGCTCTAACGTTTTTACTTTTTTTTTTTTTGGGTCTCTTTCAGATGGCAGGGATGGATGACAGAACCATCAACTTTTGTCCCAAGATGTTACATAAAAATATGAAAAAAATTATCACAGCAGGACGAAAAACAACATCAAAGGTTTAAGAGATGTTGGAACATTCATGATCAAATACTCAAGTACTATATAAGTCGGCCATAAAATAACTGAAGTAAATGGCCATCAAAGAATTTAAAAAAAATAAAAAATAAAATGATTCCAAAAGTAAAAAAAAAGAGAAATAATATGATTCCAATCAACAGCGTACAAAGTCAAACTCAGAAAATTTTTTTTTTTTTTTTTTTTTTGACAAGCAGACCCCAGAAGCAACTCAAGATTGATTGCCTAATAAAATCAAGAACAACCTTCTCATCATAACCATCAGCCTAACAATGCTATAGAGGCCCCGAAATCTTTCATCAGTCCAAAAGATTCAAAACTGTTACAAAAGGTTAAATCACAACACAAAATTTCACGATTACCTTTATCTCATAGATCAGTTTTTATGCATCAGAACAGCCAAATAATATCATCCAACATATCAGAACAGCCAAATAACCATCCAGAGGATACACCACAAACAAAACCCCGAACAAGGACCCGTTAAAAATCAAGACAGAAAGCCGCACGCATTATAGCAATGACACAAGAATTCAGGAAGAACGAACACAGAAAGATCGGCCCCAAAAGAACAAGAACTTCAAAAGAGGCGAAGGAAATCACCGCGAAGACGGCGAAGGTGGTGACGCCATCGCCGGGCACGCGCTGGCACTCGGCCTTAAGGAAGGTGAAATCCTCCCCCTTCTTGCTCTGGCTAGCCTGCCCGTAAAGAAAGTCCGGATTCTCGATCTTTTCGCTCGTCGACTCCCTCTTCAGCAGCACCCCCAGCGGCATCGCCCTCCCCCCCGCCTTCGCCGCCATCCCCCAAGAATCAGAAAAAATCGCCCTCTTCCGCGCTCAATTGCACCACAACCAACACCGCCACCGCCAGTACCGGACAGAGTTCCCGTCCGCCTCTAATAATTACAAAAGAACAACTCGCATTCCCCTTTCCAAGACTCGATCGAATCAAGAAAAAGCCAGAACCAAAAGCATCTGGTTCGGTTGCTGCAATCCAGCGTAAATCCACGCGGAGAAAAGAAGAGTGGATGAATCGAACGAACAATCAACGGAGAGGGAAAAGATAAAAAGGAAAAAAAAGTTCTTTTTCTTTCCTTTCTCTTGGAATTTTTGTTCAAAATTTTTCCTCTCTCTCTCGCTCGCCTACTTTTAAAGAGAGGAGGAGGGGGCGGAAGAGAAAGCCGGCCTTCGGAATGGGCGTGATGGTGATGGCCTCCTCCTTCGGTTCTTTCTCCTAATGAAAACGTTGTTATACTCGAGAACAGTACCCGAAACAACACCCGGGTGATGGTGACCGTCGATTGCACAGCCGCGTGAGCGTGATCGGAGTGGGTCAACGTGGTGGGTTTTCCTTCCAATTGCAGAGGTCCTGTGGAACGCGACACAGGTTTGACCCGATCTCCCCACAGTTACTTCGTTGGAAGGACTCCGAGAGAGGCATGACGCAGAAGCGCGTCTTCGTGTTGACGAGTCATTCGACGGCCACGAGTCCAGCACGTGCCAATCGGGAATCGACAGAAGTGGCAGAAAATTTCATGTGCATTCCCAAACCATCTACAGTAATTAAATAGGTGGACGGCCGAGATTCAATTTGGGCACATACTCGATATTCTACGTAGTGACTTTGACTCTGCATCCGAATAATCATATTTCAAAGGTTACAATTTATTTTCTCGTTGGATTCATCGCCACCAAACATCGATCGACGACGCAACCGTCAGATGAACGATCAAAGAACGGTGATGTTGTTGAGCGGTATAGAGTGGGTTTTCGCGTACGCGTTGGGAGTACGGCCGTCCACGAGAAAAGGAGGAGAAAACGAAATCGAAACAGGTTGACGATGACCGCCTCGGCATTGCATTTCCTCTCTCTCTCTCTCTCTCTCGCTCATGGGCGTTGAATGTTACGATCACGCGCGTTTTCGTACGCAATTGTAGTGCCATTATTATTATTTTGGTTTGGGGGCCCACTGACCAAGTAAGCCATTAGTTAGTTACGTTGTGTCCTCTTGTCAAGTGTAATATAGTTGGGCAATCATATTCGTAGTCGACATTTATTAATAAGAATTATGATGATTATTAAGCATAATATAATGACAGGACTTCTTCGTATAGTCGGTGTAAGAATCGTATATGTCAGTCAGTCAACGAAGAACATGAATAATAGCATTTCTATATTTGTGAGAGATTAATGAGTTCTTATTATGTGAGATTCTTTAAAATCATAACATTTATATGAAAGCTCTAACCCTTATTTAGGTCTAATTATATATTATCTACTATAATTAATTATTCTTAACATCGCAAACTCTATCTAATTAATTATATTAAAAGTGAAATATTTAACATGTTAATCCAATAAAATCTATCTTTTTCTCTTGATTTTTAATATAATAAAATAATATTCTTAACACTGGTTTCAATGTTTCACTTTCGTAAGTATAGAGATCCCAATATAAATTTTTGAACGTATGAAGATTTCAATATAATTACTTAAAAATAATTAATTATAAAAAATTATAATTAACCCCCTTATTTTCTCTCTCCTTCTCTTGATTTACTTAATTTTTATTTATTTTAAATATTTTTATAATTATTTATATGATTGTATGCTTATTTATTACATATATAATCTATATTATTTGTAAGATTACATACATTTATTATTTAAATAAGTATGTATTCATTTTTGAATACAAATCCAGAAGGGCGATTAGAGCGGCAAGAGATGGGCTGATTGATCTTATCATAGGAGCCTCTTCTCCGGCTTCCGACGAAGACAGGAAATGGATTGTGGGACTGAGAGAGTCAACTTATCAGCCAGTTCATTCGCGGCTGGCAAACGCGGTGGCCTCCGCTACAAGGAGTCGCTGTTTGACTGCGCCAAGCGAAAGCAAGCGCGTGGGACGTCGCCTTCGGCCGCTTCACTGCCTCGCCCCAAGCCTGGCGCCAGGGAAGAGGGAAGGAGGCGTCAAGCCGCACGTCGCGCTCCCTCCACCATCGCCGGTCGCAGAACGTGTGGGTGAGGCATTTCATCGAACAGAAGAAGGAAAAAGGGTGTGCTTCAACCGGTGACTGCTGACTCACAAGCGGGGCCGGCAAGCACATGGATTCATTCCAGTGGTGGAAGCAACATGTAAGAATACCAAAAAAACAGGTCGGTGGAAAACAAAGGAGGAGAAGGAAGCACCCAAAGATAAGCTTCTCGATCACTAGTACAAGATTCATACACGCCAATCCATATCTATAGAAAGAAACATCATCCATCAGACTGATAATGTGGCTAAATTATGCAATTTATGGAGGATGAACATAGAACCTCTTAACTCGAATTAATCACACAATACAGTGCTAACTCAAATTCATCAGGTCCACTCTTAATAGTTTTTGCGGCATGACTTTAGCTCGCCAAAATAGCAATATATTGAAGAATAAACGAAGAAGAAAAATACTTGTCCTATAATTAATGGAAAAAATATTTATTTTGATTATTCATATCATTACTTATCTCAACTAGATGGAAAGAAATTTTTTTTTTTTTGATGATTGCACTACCTATGCAACCATTAGAAAACAAATCTTTACAAAACCAGCTGCATAAGAAAGTTTTTTCTTGTATGTACCCAGATTTATCACTAACAGATTTGTATTAACATAACACTCATATACGGTTTACTTAAACAACAAAAGGAAAACAGAGAAAGGAATTACAAGACATATGTGCCATGTACCTTTTGATCCTGGAAGGAATCCACAATGTAGAGCAGTAGCACATCCTTGTTCTGATTTCGTTATCTCTACCAAAGACTATACAGTGCTGATGGTTGCATTCACATGCATCCAGTTACATTTACAGATATCCCTCGGCAGTCAGCGGAAAATTTCTACAATCTGGAGCATCTCATGCACCTCATATGATTTGAAGGACCATGATGGTGGGCTGAATCAATAGACTGCTTCACATTTAAGGAAACTGGCTTTATGTCCCAGCCCTCAACATTCTTAGGAACAAATACATCGAACAAGATCTGGCTTAAAACCCCTTGCGGGTTGATGCTGGGCAAAGTAAACGAATTACCCTTTCGCTCGTCTAGCAAAGAGCTTCCAACTTTCACTTCCAGATTGTTGCTTGTGCTGGGTAAACAAATATTATCACTAGCACTAACGTCGACCCTTCTTAAGCTCTCGTTTGAGCTCAGTGCCGTTTCATGAAGACTGCAAATGGACTCTGATATATTGTTACAGGAACTTCTGAGGTTTTCTGATCCTTCATTGAATAGCCTTCTCTGGGAAAATATTGTAGCTGCCTTGCCAAGAAACTCAATGACATTGGAGTGGTAATCAGTTTGGTGATGACTATAGTGCCTTAAAGTAACCAAACAGAGGATTACAAAGAAGTCCAAATAACTTGACATGAGAAAGATAGAGCATAAATATATCAAATGAATCAAGGTTTAAATGTTAAATGTTGTTCCATTGCCAGTTGGCCCCTGGCAACATACACACAATGGTATGTTGTGCCTCTGCTATCACATGCCAAAATTATAAAGTGCAAAACCTTAATCCATGAAATGAACAGCATTAAAATTTCCACAATTATATACCCAAATTGTTCTAAGGCAATGTTGAGCAGTCATTAACTAGCCTATGTTGCCGGAATTGAGTCCATATGCTAATGTCATGCCACGACATGGTTATAATTTGGTATAACCTTGTCTTATAATGTTATGGTCCCTTTGGTTACAGACAATGCTAAAGGTACGGGATTTAAGATGTAGAAATGAGATAATCTATACAACAGTGGTTTAATTGGTAAAACAACCTTACCTACTTTTCATCACATTGAATTCAAAACAGTGCAAATCAGGTCAGGACTCACATACATGAGGAGAATTACTCCATTTGACACATCTAGCATCGACACCAAGCTCTTTCAGACATAGAGAAAAGTTAAAAGATACCTTGGTAAGGGGCAAGGTCATCATCTTCTGATGAAAATATAAGAATAGGACCCATGCTCTGCAACAAATAACAAGAAAATGTGAATGGAAATAGCATAAAACACCAATAATTTTAGTTGGACGTTGTAAAAAATGACTTCAAAATAAAAAGTGTAGTATTGCAACTGATGAGTACAAAGACTGCCAATACTCTGCATGCTGTGCTTCAGATCTACTTGGGAGAACAACATCCAGACCAGATGTCAAGACTTTTCTCATCCATGATGTTATTTTTGTTGGGCTAAACAATCTCTGAGCTGTGTGATGATGGAGAAATCGAGTGGCCATTTTACCAGTAAAGTTTACAGGAGCGGAGTCATATATTTGTCCACAGATACACTCTCTCATCAGCCGATATTCATCCTTTAAAAGAAAAGAAAATAGGTCCATTAAAAGTGTCTTCAAACAAGATTTTTCTACTTTAAAACTAAATAGAAATATGGATGTCAAAAATGATAAAAAAAAAAAAAAAACTTGACAGAGTAAAAGAAATTTTGTTAGATTTATTAACTTCTCGTTCTGCTATATGTATTAACAGTTCCTGATAGTAAGGGAAGGAAAAGTAGATGCCACACAACATATCTGGTGAACTTTGAATTCACAATAAAGCAAGCGCAGAGACCGAGAACTAACATGATAATTTATTGGTCTATTTACATTCAACAGGTGGACTGTAAGGTGACTAGTCCTTGACAATATACATCTCAGGATTCTTTATTATTACTTCATTAGTAAAAAAAGGTATCATGAACTAGTGTGTAAAATATAAGCCAATAAAATGGAGAAATTTGTTTAGTGTCATAATAAGTAAATGAAAATTTAACTAAAAGAACACAAGTATACCAGTCCAAGTTCTTCTTGCATCTTTCCATTGAGAATCTGCAAAAAGGGAGCAGAAGCCATATTTTAGCAAGAACAAACGAATATCCAATTTTATCTAGGGAAATATTCTTAATGAACTCAAACAATGATTTGAAAAAGATTACAAATGTAAAGGAGTAATAATCAAGGATGTCCTTTAGTTGGACGTCCAGCACAACCACACCCACCTGAAGAACCTTATACATGCAACCTCTTAATCCCAAAGAAAAGCTCATGAGAACAACTGGTAGCTGCTTGATCTTTATAACCTGTCACTCCAACAACCCCGAAAGCATAAACAAATGGTTCTAGATAACAGTGTTAAGGATGCAGTTGGGGATCACAAGAAAGAACAAATTCAATTGATGCAGCTCAATTATGCAAAATATGGACCTGGTTTATCGAAGTAAATGTGATGACAACTAATACTTCAAGTGTGGAAAACTGTCGAATGGCACATCAATGGATGACTTCTTATTGCATATGTGATCTTGGAAGCCCAATACATAAATTAAGATAATTAAAGATATACTGCATTTGCTACAGTAGAACCAACCTTCATGAGCTCATCAAGTACACCACATGCAAGCGAAGTGGCCTTGTTAGGGAAAATCCTGCAAAAATTTCAAATTATGCACCAAAAACTCTGAAAGATTTGCCATCATGATAAGAAAATATTATAATTAGCAGTACAAAAAACAACCAAGATATAGACATGAACAGACAAGGCCAAAGAGTCTAGCCAAGTCTAATAGACTTCCAATTTTGCTTTAGTGAAATTGACATACATGCTTCTTGAGTAATTAGTACTATACGAGGTCTGGATCACTAACGGTTTTGAATACTAACATCATACAAGGTTTAGGGTGTGCAGAAAACATACTCTGAAAGAAGATAAATGCATGGGACAAACATAAACACCCTATAATTCAAATTCCATACAAAAGAAAACAAGGATTACACTGCAGTTACACGGGCATAATGCAGAACATTTAATCTGCTATGATATCTTATGCTTCATGGTAGATCTTAACAAGAGGAAGAAGTACTGCTGTCATCATATAAGCATCCTAACCTCTTTGATAATGTAAGAACATAATGATTATAGGTAGACCAAATTTTGCACCAACATAGATTTTCTGTGGCAAGATAAACTTTTAACTCGTTGCACCTGTGTTTTCCATCAAGATACTATTATTGAACAGCATTTAAATATAGTTTCTAAAACTAAAAATGAAGACAAAACTAATTGAATTTTAAACCAAATGGAGTTATTAAGTTTGCAAAAACTCCTTGTGCCATCTTCATGCTACCGATCAAATAGAACTAAGTCATGAATGTAAGAGTCAGCAAAAGAGCTACCAGTATCACAGAAACCGTAAATACCATATTTGACCAGGGTTTTCCAGCATACTAATGGATTGGTTAAAAGTTTCTCACAATTTGTCATATTACTCTTGGTATGAGCAACAGAAAAATGAAAAACAGAAAAAAAACAGACATGCTTACAACAGATTTCTCTTCATCAATGTCTTTGGAAGAAGAGAATAGATTGGTCAGCATCACAAAAGACCAGATCCTGGAGTTGCATTCCTGTTACAGATACAACTTGTGGCAGCTGATTACCACAACTACAGAAAAGGTCCTAAAAGCCAACAAGCTTCCTTTTGAAACACAATATTGTACTCAAGTCACAGGACTGGCTCAGTAATATTTGAGAGTTCCTTTCAGAAAATTCTACCAACTCAAGACATCAAAGAAAACAGTTGACGATCAACTAACATAATGGTTCACAAGAGTCTTTATTAATAAAGAACAGAGTGTGATCGAGCTGCACACTGGTATGAATTCCCCCGAGAAAAACTATACTTTGAAAAGATCAAACACATTTAAACAACCAGAACATATAATCTAATCACATACGTTGACGTCGCGCAGAATCTTCGTCAGAAAGTAAGAACCAGAGCGATCAGCGCCTTACAGCGTGAGGAAATCGACATGGCAAACGAGGGGTCTCCACCCGAGAGACCAGTAAAGATCGACGTAAGGCTTCAGATGGCTCTCCAGGCTAGAGAGCCACGCGAACATCACCACGATGCCCTTCGCTTCCCTCCGCCCTTCCCCCTCCGTCCTCCCCCAGTAGAACCGCCCTCCCTCGGCCCACATCATCCCGAACCTCCACGGACCGAAATCTCACGAAAACCCCCAAGCCTCCCGACTTCGTCGATTATTCCTCCTTTTGTGCGACCGCTCGTGCCAACATTAATAATACAATAAAATAAAATAAACCCTTCTCCTCCCTTGCTCCATGGACGCCTGTCGACGCTTCATTGGGTACCCACTCTTGTCGTTGTCTTTTAATTAGACGCGGAATGTGGGATCCATGGGACTCCGTTGCTCTCGCCAATCAAAATCTGGTAAGGAAAGTGTCACTGTACTATTAATCCTGTATATCTATACCGCCACGTCCATTTTTAACTCGAATACATGCCGCCCTGTCATTGGGGCCCACTTAAATGTGGAATGCCAGAGTTGGTTGACTTGTCCATCTAAGCTGGCATTTGGCAGGGAACTTATATATGCAACATAATCTGACGTAAATTACGTCATTTGACACGAGGGGCGTTGCAGTCTTGGGAATTTAGTAGAAGACTGCTGGAAAACATCTCAGGAAGGCATCATCTACCCATTTGGTTGAATGCCTTTATCGCCTGTCCATTCGATGGACGTGTGTCGTCACACCACTACAAAATGCATAGACGCACATCGTGCGTGGGACGATGACTTTAATTGGTGGAGCACACCTCGGACGTGATGTGGAAAGAGAGTGGACGAGGCACGCACGAGTCTCTTAAGTGGAGTCATTAGATGAAAGGGGATGTGGCTCGCCCGCGGCACCCACAGAGAAGACTGGGATAATACCAGAAACCGGATCGGATTCGGATTTACAATTGATGAAGGAACAGTACACTGGTATGCCGATCCGGTCGTTGAATTCGGATCGGCTATTGTGTTCTGCACACACCATCAAATACGGGTTGAGGATGTGTTCTCGACTCGGCGATTCAGTGAATCCAAACTCACGGCTCTCGGTCGGGTCAACTCGGGACGAGACATGGTTAAAAGTCGACCGATAAATACAAAACGCTTTTTAACCGCTAGTTATTAATTGATCTCGAAAGCCAACTAATATACGAAGGACCCCAATCAATTAAGACAACTCTAACCCTTACGTTTGAGGAAATATTTTATATCTAATCAAATAGGTAAGCCTTTCGAGTTCGTCTTATGCAAAACATTAAAACCATAGAATCATTGGAGAATGACTGAGGGTCAATGTCCTTAGGGTCAACATTAGAACCACATGGTAATATGGTTGGTTCTACCGATAGTGTTTTTCCGTTGTTTACATATTAGAACCGTAGTTTACATATTCGTTGTAATGTACTTGGAAGATTCTATTTAGGAGCACAAAACTTCCCTTAAAGACAGAAGAAACCAATGTATTTAGAAGATATAGCTTATTTGGTAACTATTTCTGTTTTCTGCTTTTAGACATCCTTTGGCTACTAATTTCCAACTCTTGCCTACATTTCATTAGTCAAATGTTCCTACAGTATCATCTAATAGTTGTTGGCCTTCTCTAATATACTGCATATCTGCGAATGACGATTCCTTTTTCGTACAATAAACAAATAATTGCAGGAACGTAGTTTGCATGGAGTTCGAAATCCGCAAACACATCTTCCAAGGAATACTTCTCGTTAGGAGTCTGTGTCATTTGTATTATATAAAATACACCAGATTGTCAAACCCTTTAATTTGGTCAAACTGTCTTCCCGATATCACTCACTCCTTGTAACATGGTCAACTTACCTTTTCAATATTCAGGGAAAATATAATAATGCCACAATGGGCAGTGCAAAGCATGGCTCTTAATTACATGGATACATCTACCCATTTCAGCAAAAATAATCAATCCATCGAATCGTGGTGGTGCTCAACATTAATACGTCTTCCGATCACCCATCCATCTCTCATAGTCTCATTTCAAGTTACTTCTTTCCATAAAAAAACTCATATTCGCTTCCTCGCGTTTCAATATTTCACTTCCTTTCGCATGTTCGGATTCCTCTGTTACAAATATTTGATTTATTTAACTTCCTTTCTCATCATCCTCATATGGCCTGCAATCGAAAAGGGACTTTAAAAGGTCCGCTTTAGAGGCATATGTCAAAGTCATCTGCGGTCGCAGATCATAAAGAGACCTCAGAAGCTCGGCTACTATCTTAGGGCCCCCTCATGGAATGTTACGCGTCTAGGGATCCACGACAAGTCTCACCGTCCCGGAACTCCAACCCCCAAATTCCTTCCACCAGAAGGCGTGGAGCTCAGACTTCCATCCTCTCTTTTTTTTTAATCTCATCCATTACTTCTTTTTTCATATAATCTCTTCCACATCTCTTCGGTGGAAGCGACTCGCACGATTTCCGAAGGTGGAATATTCCTCCTTTCCTCTCTCTCTCTCTCTCTCTCTCTCTCTCTCTCACTTTCCCACCGAGTGCGTTCTTCCATCTCATGATTACAAGTTCACGCGATCCGATGCAGCCCCCAGAACAGCAAAACAAGTAATTTAAAATCGAGTTTCGATCGATCGCAGAGAAAATAGCGGAGGAAAAGTAGAACGCAAATGTGAGATGATTGGGCGGGCAAGAGCTCTCACCACGTGCCGCCCGGGCCCTCTTCTCAAGCTTTCCGCCAAACCGTCGGGTTCATCGTCACGTGGCGGAGCACCGCCGGCCGAGAGCTCCTCCCTGCTTCCTCCTTCCTCTTCCTCGTCGCCTCCGCCCACCAGCATAGGGAAATTTTATCAGGCAGGGCGGGCCGTGAGATCGAGAGCGGACCATGGAAAGGAGCGGGAGAAGGGAGACGAGTGTTTCTTAGGACTGCAGCAGGAGATGGAAGCATATTCTACTTCTCCTACCTCATATCCTTACGAATGAAGGTGGAGAAAGGGACAGCGATGAAATGGCGGTGGTTTAACTTACAATTCTGTACATTGCTTCTAGAAGAAACTACAGACCCCCAAAGAAAACCCACATGAAAGAGAGACGAAATGACAAAGAAGTTTCATTTTTTTTTTTGAATTTTCTTTGGCCGTTCGCTTCAAAGGTTGATCCGAACCCAGTCGAAGCGGCCGTCCAACGGAACGTCGCCGATAACGTCGTAATTGTACCTGCGGCAAAACGGAACGGAAAAGAAATGAGGCTTTCGGCTTTAAGACGACGAGGAATAGAGAGAGCCAGGGGGAAGTATACTTCTCGGCGAAGCGCTGCGCCTGATCCGTCTCCGCCGCCGCGAAAAACTCCTCGATTTCGGCTTCCGTCGTTGTCGCCCCAACCGTCGGACTCGAACCCGACCTCATTCTCGCCCTCGCAGCCGTCGATTCCAGATCGCCCGCTTCGCGACGTACTACGCTCGAGGGGGTCGTCTCTCTACCGGAGTCGAGATAAAGACGTGTAAACCAAAGCAGAATGGAAGAAGAAAAGGGCGAAAAATTAAAGAATTGCAAGCACAGCAACCTCGCCCTTCTAGATTTGAAGTTGCACGTCGAACTCCCCAGAACCTCGACTTTCTGGACCCAAAAAAGCAAGAAGAAATGAGAATTTACGTAAACTCGAGGAGGAGGAGTTCGAATCCCGCCAGGGTTTTCGGGTTAAGACTACTCACCGTCCCGTCGCCCACCACCTCGCTAGAACCGTTGCTCGAGCACTGGGAGATCCCCTCCGCAGCAGGGCCGGGGTCGGAGGCGGCGGGGGAATTCTCTGCCTGCAACCGCGGCCTCCGGATCGTCATGAAGAGGGGGCGGCTGCGGAGCTGGAGGTAGGACGACGTCTGCACTACCTCCGTGGACGGCGGCGCGCCCGTTCTCCTCCGCCTTGGACTCTTGACGGCGGGAGCGGCCGCGTCGGCCAGGGAGTGGGACCGCCCTCTCGTCCTCACCCCAACCACCTGGGTCACCTCCATCACCGCGAGTTCTCCGACCCCTCTGCTGCACTTCCTCGTGTACTTCCCCATCCTTCGCCTCTCTCTCTCTTTTCTCACTGAAAAGTGTGAACCAAAGGCGAAGAAAAAACTAATGCGGTCTGATTCAAGATAACGGTTAAAGCGCTGCCGTTATCTTTTTTGCGTTTATCCTGTAAACATAACGCGAGGCATGGAACGGTGCCGTTGGACGGATCTGGCCGTTGGGATTTCAAGACAAGTGGAACGCGACGTGTTCGCGGACCAGAGCTTCTCTTTGGTCCACCGGCCAAACCGGTTGCAAATTCCAGATTCCGGTGAAACCCCATGCATCGGGGATGGGCTTAAACGGGATACTGCCCGTCGGCCCCCGGGTTAGTTTTGTCCGTAACCGTCGTTTGGTGGCAAGCGGGGATCGTAATAATTACTTTTTTTTGGAATTACTATAAAGTTTTTATATTCTGATTAAACCACAGTAATGCCATTAACCGTTCAAGATTCCCCTTCCAGGTACGGCGGACATTTGCTTTGACGAGGATGGAGTAATTTAGCTCGTCTGATTCCAATCGAACGGTCAGAGGGTAAGTGCCTTTTATTTGCTATGAAGTTTAATTTAATGCATTCATTACGAAGTTCACTTCAATTCAAACCGATGATGGAGCCTACAATCGTCCGCTACATCTCCGTCGTGATCTCTGCTTAAGATTATCATCAGCCGTCCACTTAAAGGATCGTACGGTCCACGTGGAACGTCTATTTTTGTAAGAGACGGAGTTCAGTAGGTACGGCGGGTTGGAGGTGTAATCATAGGCGATCTCGGGTTTCTTAATCGAGGCGTGATGCGACTCGTGGTTGTTGGGTGCACGCACATCCGCCGTCCGCTGGGGACCACGATCCACGAGAAGGTGGTCCAGGGATCGGATGGTGGTGCTTGTAGGGAGGTGGGGGAGGGGGGCATGGGAGACCATCCAACTACCCGTTCGTTTATCGGACACGGAACCAGCCTTGCGTCGGTGACCGTCGGTAATGATGGAGCCCACGCGGGGCCGTCGCCGGCTTCAATAACGACCGCAGGGTAGGTGACGAGGGGGAACATTCAAGTAGTTGGCAAAAGGCATCGCTGCTCGTGATCGTTCGATATGGGAAGGAAACGGAGGACCGTTCGATCGGAGAGAATGTTATTCAATCAATTCATTTTTTTGTTATTTTAGCGCCGTTGCGACAGTAGAGAGAGTACGCAGAGGGCCAAACTAGAACTATTGCATGCATGGTGTCTGTCAAGAAGGGAATAGTTCCATGGTACTGCACAACTGTAGTAGGTGTTGGCTCTCGCCATGGTAAAAGCCTGCTTCCCGTGAGATGGCTACAGCCTATAATAACATCTCTTCTGTCTTCTAGTTGGTGAAGTACTACGATATCAGACATCAAATGGAGGAGACACGGACAAAAGTTGCTAACCAAATAGTTACGGCATGGGATCTAGAAACACTAGACTTCGTCTTGGACACACTAAACCACAAGGATTCAATGGCCTTATCTGCGAGAACAGGTGCAGCTGGGAAGAAATTCTCAGGGGGACCTGGTCCATGTGTATGTTTTGTCGCTTATCTTCTCAATCAGATGCGTTGGACTATGACAATATTATATATGCTCTGTTTTTAAGCTCAGGTAGGCTTTGAATTTTTGCGGACTTACCTTGGCCTTCCTATCAAGGAGGGAGTGGGGGTGTTGTTTAACACAAGGAACCCTAGATCCATGCTTCCAATCTTCTTGATTTATTGATGTGGGGGTCCTGAGTGAGATGGATAATGGCTAGGACACACCTTGGACTTGAATAGAGGAGAAAGGACACAAGTGCTCCCGGGAATAAAGTTGGGTTGGTGAAACAAGGACTTGCACATGGACAGAAGTTGCACGGGAAAAGCCATGCTCAGAAATAGGCGACTGTTGTAGCAGAGGATGTTTTAGCTGCATGTACACAAGGCTTACGTAAAGTGACTTGTAGCCTTGTCCCAAGTAAAAGACCACTTTCTCTCTGTTTCGTTTACCTGTTCTCAACTTGATGCAAAATGATCAATATCTTGTTCTCCCTTCGTGGAATCTCCTTTGACTTCTGTTTCCCGAAAGCTTGGCTACAGCAGAGCATGATAAGAACCTAAGTTCATTTCCGAAGCTATGGTCAGCAGTCACATGCCCAGTTCTCCTCTCTAGGGAACTTGGACTCTGTGAACAGAGTTATTTTTATTCTTCAGATGTTACTTTGGCATGTGAGATGAAAGTAAACTATCAGCCATAATAAATATTTGGCGCTACTGTTCATGAGCTACTTTATCGTAGTATGACTATATGGTGTTTGAGCAATGACAGAATAATGTGGTTGACATTTGTGGTTGGTGAAAATGGATGCATAAGACTAGTCTTCTATATCATATGTGTACAATACATATGTGCTTAATAGATTTTGTTGATACATGCAAATATATTTAGGATAGATCAAACAATTTTTGTTTATCTACAATATTTATTTGCTTGTTGACATGCAAGTATCAAGCAACCCTTACTAGAGAAGCTAAGCGAGTCATAGCGCATGTACTTATTCCATTTGTAGTCTCAATAATAGTAATTACAACCACTTTTTCTGCTGCTTAAATGCACATCGCAGTCATCAAGAGTGAATGCTTGATAGCAACTCCTGTTGATGGCCACTTTCTTCCAGTATGATGATGCAGTTTGCCAAAAGCTGTTCATTATTTTTCAAATCCATCTTTGGGAAGGGAAACTAATGAAGAAGATATCGAGGAAACTATAAATGAGTGATTTGCATTAAAAAATCAACTTTTTATTTATTTATTTCAAAGATGTACTGTTTTCAATTTTTCTCAAATCGATCGATATCCAAAACACCTTTCATCGATCATAATGCTATTTTTTTATTACAATAATAACACACTGTAAAACACACTTTAAAATATCATAAACTCATAATCTTAATCAAACCAATTTCAAGATTAAGAATTTAGTATCATAATGGTCTATAAGTAATAATGATTAGAGAGACATCACTTATAATAATCTTTAAATAATTTTTATTTAATATTTTAATAAAAATATTATAATGCTATTGAAAAACTTTGTGAGTAAAATAGAATCAAAACATAATAAATATTTATAATAATTTAGGAATAACATCATCCAAATAGAAATTAAAAAATTAATATATTACATTATAATACTATTAAAAAAATACTATAAACGAGTCAAAAGAAAATACTATAACTATTCAAAGCAGATTAAAAAAATTGATGAAAAAAATATCACTGGGATTGATGAAGAATATTTTAGATATTATTTGAATTAGAAGACCCCATTTGAGAAAATCAAAACAGTTGGCATCTTTTGGGAAAAATGAAAAGGGAGATTTTTTTAGGGAAATCTCCCTAATATATATATATATATATTAGCAAACTGATAATTCGATTTATTTACAAACCAGTCCGTAATTTCTTTTGATCGGATCTTAGATGCGATATTATCTGATCGGATCGGAGTTCAGGTTTATCTCGGATTCGGATCTACTACTACGACCCTGAAGAAGGGAAAGATCGAGACGGGTCGGGTCGGGTTTCTGTCGGGTTGAGATCTATACACAGCGAGCGGACGCGCAGTTCTGTGGACTCCGAACGCAAATCGAGGGAACGCGAAGGGGGGAATAGAGGTGAGGGGAGGGAAGAAGCCATGATCGGTGTGGGAAAGATCAAGCAGTACACCAACGTTCTCGACAAACCCCTCAGTAGAGGCCGGCAAGAGGTCAGTTTCTGTTCCCCCACCCCCCCCCCCCCGTCTTTTTTCTATTTTACCGTTTTTATGTAGTGAGAAATCTCAGATTTTTGTCGATCTGTTCTTGAAATGGTCGCTTGCAATTCCCGATCTCCACCCAGTAGTCAAGAAATCGTGCATCTTCGCGCGATCTCATGTAATATTAGGTTATATTGCACTTATTTGATATTCGTTGTTTCTATCCTTTTTTGTTAATTGGTACTGCAAGATCGGTTCTTTACTAATTGAAAGAGCTGGATTACCTAATCTAGGAGCCCGGCATAATTGTTTGTGGGAAATGTCGAGATCTTCTGAAGCAATTTAATTTTTTTGCCATGTCTTGTCACTTAATGTTCAAATTTTGGGCAGTTACCGTAGTTGATGGTATGGACACGATTATATATTGTGTAAATTATTGTGATTCTTGAATGAAATCTGTTTCTTGCAGGTCAGCTTGAGTGCATTCGCATTTTTGTTCTCGGAACTGGTGCAATACAACCAGACTCAAGTTGATAATATTGCAGAGTTGGAGAGAAGGTAATGCTAGGTGATGTTGCTGCTGACAGCGATTGCTTATATATAAGTTTGTGGTGTAATAGTTCTAATACTCATATGTGATTTGGTTGACTAAATTATGACAGCTGCCGTATGCTGTTCGTTCCTTGCAAATGTAGGCTGTGCTCATGTTGCACTATAAAAGAGGCTTCTCTTGTTATGAAACATATGTGCAAGCATTTGCTCATTTAAGCATCGGCATGGTGTGTCAGTGGTTTACTAGTAAGATTCATTTGCACTTGATCACAATTATATGCTAGGAATACTACTGTTATTTAGCTGTAGGTTATGCAAGGATATCCATAGATATAGCCAAGTACTTAAATAAACTATGGAAGCATCGAGAAATGGCACTATTGGGTGCATGGCTTGTAGGTTTGGGTAAATTTTCTATCATTTCAATTATCCATGTCTCAACTGTAATCCAATTTCAGCTCAAAGGCCTTTGTAACAGAAAAAAAAAGAAGAATTATTTTATAATTTTTTTCCAAAGTCATGTTCTAATAGGCATTGTTTTAACCCTTAGGATCTAGTGGATCAACAATATGGTAGAATTTAATTTGTTGACAGTATGCTGATGTAACTTTTTTTTTTCCTACTCACATCTTTGTCCCAGTAGTTAATTTTTCGTGGATGTTTTTATCTTCATTGCATTTTCTTGACAATTAACCTGTTTAAATTCTTAATCCTGTACCCATTTCCTGTAACTTCTAACCATTTTCAGATGTGCACTCGACAAGCTGGCACTTCAATTTCCTTTGTCCATCCACATTCTGGATAAATTAACCTAATTGTTTCTAAAGATTTGACAAAAGCACTGGGAAATATTGGCAGTGTTATTTTCTTTTTTAGATTTTTACTGTAATAGTGGCATTATTTCCTCCTTACATCAAACAAATATAAAAAAGAACTTGACTCTATTACCTGTTAACCTTTTAAACTAAATGTCATATTCACACCTCTTTTTTATGATGACGCAAAAACAAATCTTAAATTCTTAATCTTTTTTTTGGATGGTTTACTTGTCTGTCAAAGGCATTTCTCAATCAGTGTTCTCTACTCCCAAGCTATTCTTGTTTACTACACTTTATTTTTTTTTGTGGAATTTGTTTTTTGTCCTTTTCGAAAAGGTGGTCAATGTGGGGTTGGAGGGTGGCATTTACGCAGTCTTTAACCTAGAAGTAGTATGGAGATTGTTATTTTCTTTTTTCAGTCAGGATAAATTATGATGTGTGTTTCTATTGAAAACAACTCTACTAAATGTGGTGCAGGCTTGAAGATGCTGGCTATGCTGTTGGAGCAAGAGTTCTTGAGCTTCTTTGTCATAGAGAGAAGGTATGAGTTGTTGCCATCATGCCTAGATGATAATAGTTCTCTGTTTCAGAATAATTGTGTGGTTTTGACATTTGATCTCTCATATAGTATCTTATAATTTCTTATACTATTTGCAAACTGTTTAGGGGACATAAACAAATTTTCATTCTGAAAAGTGAGAACCTTGCTGACTGTTATGATTATCAACAATTCAATATAATAGCTTATAATTTCTTTTACTATTTGCAAACTGTTTGGGGGACATAAACAAATTTTCATTCGGAAAAGTGAGAACCTTGTTGACTGTCATGATTATCAACAATTCAAAAAAGAATCATTTGCCCAGACAAAAGCTTGTTATCAAATGATTCTTCATGTTTCACTTATCCTTCTTATTTCTTTCTTGCAAATTGGTTGACTCATTCAAATGGTTTTCCATGAGGCTTATGACTGAAATGATCATAGAGTTGATGCTTTGCAATGATCAGGATAGTGAAAAACTTTAACCACAGCTTGGAGTTTCTTCTTCATCGTCATCAAACTATAAGATTTCTCTTTATTTACTTCGAAGTGCAAACCATTATTGTTAATATGTATCTTAGAATGACTATTCCATTCGGGTTCGCAAGTTTCGTCTCGGGACAGGGAAACTCATATAGTAATACGTTGATGTATAACTATTATTATAAGCAACCTTACTGACTATCTATCAAACTTGTGATACAGGGTAACAGAAGGGAGACACGTCTGCTTGGAATTTTATCTTTTGTGCATAGTACTGTTTGGAAGGTGCTATTTGGAAAGGTATCTATATCTTTGTAACCTTTTGGTTTGTTTAATGATGAGCTCTAAATCATTTTTTTGAAATTGTTAAATGGATATAAGATTATATGATGGTGCCCATTTCATCATACCAAAACTAAATTATCCAAACTGATTGAGAAGATTTCAGAACATTATAGCAAAATAAAATTATTTGTCTGGAGTCTTTGGACTTTTGGAAAAGAAACTGCTCAATTCTATTTCTACATTCATTATTAAGTCTCTTGCTACGATATGCAACTAGGTGGCGGACTCACTTGAGAAAGGAACTGAACACGAAGATGAGTACATGATAAGTGAAAAAGAGCTTTTGGTTAACCGGTAATTTACTTATGTTTTTGTTAGCATTTACCATTTGTGCTCAAAACTAAACAGTTTCTACTGATATATAAGATTTATATCAGTACCAAAGGACATGGGAGCATTCAATTGTGGGGCATTTGTTGCTGGAATCGTGAAGGTCAGCATAATTCCCCATTGACTTTTCTTTTGTTGCAGTTAGCTGGTGAATTTATGTTGTGATTAATCGTCTCTTATGAGTTCTTGGTTCTTATGAAGGGTGTCCTAGATGGTGCTGGTTTTCCTGCTGTTGTGACGGCACACTTTGTTCCAGTGGATGGTCAACAACGACCACGCACTACAATTTTAATAAAGTTTGCGGAAGAGGTCAGTAATACATTATTCTGCTAGGAGCTTCTTTTCTTCAGAACATGATATCGTAAGTTTCCATATCCACAGATTTTGCATCCTTAATGCCCGTGAAAACTTATGCCTTTTCAATGCATAATTATATAAGTGAGAAAATAAATAAATCTAACACCATGTGTTGCTCTGGTTGACATTGTGATCACAGAAATGGGAAAATAAGAAAATCTAATGCTCTTTATCTGAAATAAAGTGCAACAGTCGTCAAAATACTCAACAAACAACACAGTTTCAATAAACCATTACTTCATATCATAATTTTGCCAGTACAAAGTCAAGAAAACCAATGGCCGAATCAGCTGATTTGGCAAGGTCCATTTGGACTGTAGAGAAAATGTTTTACTTGAAAATAGAACCAAAATTGTTGTAAAAACTGCTGTGTTGAAGTTTCAGCTAAAAAAGGATGTCAATCAAATATCTCTTGGTATTCTTTCAGGTGCTCAGGAGGGAATCAAGACTGGGCTGATCCTCTATGGTGTTATTTAGCAAGTTGAGGCATACCAAAGCACTTCTGATTACTTCTGCAGCTACTTGGATCTTTTTATTGTTGATGTGTGCAATCTAACTCCCATGATATTCTGCATTTATATAAATCAGGTTTCATCTGAATTGTGGTTACCACTCATTGATTCTTTGTTCATGAACTTGTGCCTTGTTTTGATTAGTGGTATTTCAAATAGTTTTTATCCAACAAAAAAATAATAATAATAGTGACAATTCATTTAACAAAATATGAAAACCGTGTTCTCTCAACAAGAGCAGAACATGTCTGACAACTTTATCTTAAATTGAGCTCCAAATCTTCAGATTAGTCTCATACAACCAAGACTTCAACTTCAGATGGATACTGTTAAGTTCTCTAAAAAAATAAGTTTAATCACTCACAACTCATTTAAGAATAACTTAGGCTAAAGTTTTAAAATTATCTCCCCATTGCATCAGTTGTACTATTCATTTTTAAAGTATATCATTTTTTTATATTTCCTTATGGTACCAAAATGAAGTACTTCATAAAAGATTCATATAAATTCTAGTTGGTCCTCGAAAAATATGGACGACAAACTTCTGATGAATTTGTTTAGGCCAAAATTTATGAGAGTTGACATATATGTGTGGATTAAGTTATTTTTTTTAAATATTATAATATATTTTGAAAGTAAAATAACAGTGTTACAATTATGATTAATACCCCCTAAAAGCTTATATAATAAAACAGTACAAGTTAAATTGAGGTTTCAATCAACATCTGCTGATTTTTTTGTTTTAATATGGACCCTAAGTTTTGTTTTTCTGACACTTTTTCGGCAACCAAAGTACTAAATTGTTGTCAAATTCATAAAAAAAAAAATGCTAAATTCTGTTTAGGTCTTAAATATATCACGTTTTCGTTGGATTTCATTTTCTTGTATTACTTAATGCTTTTCATATTGTATAACTAAATATATCTATAAACTTTATTATTATATTATATATTTTCATTTTCGTAAATGTAAATTCATATTTTTAATAATATTACGGTAAGTTAAATGAATTTTTTTAGCAATTAACAATATAAGCGGTAAAAATGAGATCAAATGAAAAGAGATCCACTCATTTTCAAGAGCAAAATAGATATTTAATTAAATAGAGACGTTTTATTGATGAAAATAAATAAATAAATAATAAATAATAAAAATGAGGTCCATAATTAGCAAGTAAAATCGCCAAAAAGAGTTCATGTGGCGATTGGCCTGCGGATAAAGCGTTCCGAGACGGCGCCTTCTGTTCGACCCCGCCGCCTCTTTTGTTGGTGCAAGGAGAAACGAAGAAGAAATAACCCAACCCCAGCTTCCTCCAGTCATCAGCAATGGCGGCGTGCACATCTTCTCTCCAACCTCGCCTTCTTTCCTCCATCTTCGGCGACCGCCTCGTCCACTCGTCCACGCCTTTCCTCGGCCGCAACCCAGGTCTCCACCGCCCTATTCCACCTGACCAGTCTTTTAGCGGTTTTAGGAGCGATGTCTTTATCCAAGTATGCGGTTATTATTTGTTCTTGTGGTTTATCTTGATTCCTCCAGCAAGAGGGCAACGATCTTGCATGTATTTCTCTAAGTGTTCGATGCCTGTTGTATGGGTCGAGTACGAAAGTTTAGTACTCACCCATTATCGAGAAAAATGTGATTTATCTTGGATCAATTTGATTTTTTTGGAGTAGCTTTATCTGGTGGCTGTTGAAAAGAATATATATATATATATATATATATATATATATATATATATATATATATATATATATATATATATATATATATAT